ATATAATTAAAAAACACGTCTTTGGGTCGTTATTAACATAAATTGAGCGACCCAAAAATCACACAACATCCGCCTGACACGGGCCAACCGAGAAAAGAGTCAAGTTCCCAAGGATGTGTGCCGCGAATTAGGGCAATGACCGGGTAAAAGGGCGCGCGCGGCTACAGCATCGTCAGCCACAGTGGTGCATTATCCTAAATGCGACCGATAACCCCCCAGGCACCCCAGCTGCCACACCGGTCAAAGTATAAAATAGCAAAGGGTAAATGATATAATATTGGGGCGCCTTGACGCTGGGGTAGGGCCAATATTGTAACGCTAGTACCTAGATCAGTCTAAAGTCTCGTCACCGTGAACTGCCTCCGCTTTTGCCAGGTTATGCTTCCTTGCCCCCGCAAGCTGAACTTTTCCTCTCTTATTTTCGTTCGTTCGTTCGCTCGTCCGTCCGCACGTTCTTTCTTTCTCTCTTTCTTTCTTTCTTTCTTTCTCTCTCTCTCTCTCTCTCTCTCTCTCTCTCTCTTTCTTTCTTTCGCACATACTTCTTTCCTACCTGCCTGCCTTATATACGTATATAATCTTCCTTTATTATAATTTTGAAGGAAAACCAGAATTTATAGTGAAACGTTATTGTGTTACAAAAACCCACTCAGTATAATTAGCAATATCATCATCCTTATCGTATCGTTAATATTAATATTATTATATCCAAGATATTATGTTTTTATAAATAGGGTGTGTAGGTAAGTAGAATAGGTAGGTATAAAATATGGTAAGTGAATAATGAGTTACGAGGGAAGGGGACTAAAGGAATGAAAGGTAGTAATATTGATCGATATGGATAAGATCGGTTAATTTTTTCGACTGCTGGCTTCTTCTGTAGCTTCCCTCTATTCTCTCACTTCCCTCTCTCTCTCTCACACACACACACACACACTCTCTCTCTCTCTCTGTCTCTCTCTCTCTCTCTCACGCGCAAACACATACATTTACTCACTCGCTCGCTCGCTTTCTCCCCTTTCTACTCAACCGTATCATCGTTCACTTTCACTCCCTCACTTACCCCTTCACTCGCTCACTTCTGTTAGACATACGCGTATTCATTCTACTTCTTTCGCTTAAACGATCGCATGACTGGGGACAGGAAGTAAAAGTGAGGGATTTTCGATCGTTCGATTATTAGACACAGCTGTGTCACCGTTACCGCGTGATATAGTATCGATAACAAAAAAGAAACATGTTGAACTTAAGCAAAAGTGAATAAAATACGCAACAAAATGCTCGTCGTCGATGCGAGAATTTAACCACAATCGTTCGCCACGCAGATATTTTGTTGTTCCACAGAAGTCGATCGGTTCGTCGAACTTTCAATAGATAAGTATCGTGCTTTCTTGCTTTCTTACCGAGTTAAATTTGAATTCCTTGTCATTCCTTTCATTAATTCACATACGAAATTGCATTTATCTCTCATATCTACTAGTGTGTGTGCAGTGTGTCCAATGGGGCCGAAGTACAAGCTAGTTCTTTCATAGATGCTATACGATAAGACAATACGGTGATATGCAGTCGCTTCGTTACAAATGAATTCATATTTCTCATCGTGTTTAACTTTCTACCTTTCCGACACA